TGGATCTGACTCAAGAGACTAAGGAAAACAATCATAGCAAATTGATAATAGTAACCTAAAAGTAAAACATGGACCTATACACTAGAATAAAGCCTGAGCATACAAAATCAATAATATACACATCCCTTTCAATGGTTGCAAGACTCCAACCATTCACTGAGATGAAGGCGGGATGGTGGGTTTGGTTTAATGGAATGGATGATAGAATATAAAAGCAAGTATTTACGACAGTATTTACAAAAGGACATAAAGATGATAGTGGAAGAAAATATATGATTTTGGTGGAGAAAAAGTGCGCACAGCAAACAAGAAGACCAGAATAGTAGAGATGATGATATCATAACAAAGTTCCAAACCTCCAATTTGAAGGAACTCGGGAGTGGAACAGTGACAAGAAAGGTTGCAAGAGAAGCACTACTTTGATACCATGCTGAAAATAGAATGATTTAGGCATAGAAAGAGGAAGAAAACTTTGAAAAAGTGATCGTGTGTTGGGAAATATATAAAACTAACTCCTGTTTATACTAATTTAGACTCATAATCCTAATTAATTAATTCATGAAACAAATCAAAATCCTAACTCCTATTTATTCAAATTCAATTCCTAATCATAAATGTTGAAACAATTAAAGAAATTATATAGATTAAGAGTCTCACATTGGATAATATATGACCTAAACATATATTTATAAGTGGAGGCAATCATCACCTTACAAACTGGTTTTGTTAAGTTGTGTTGAGGTCAACCATAATTTTAAGATGGTATCAGTCAGATTCAAGATCCGTTAGGTCACCTGATATCAGGTTTATGTTATCGGGTCACCTATCATTTATATTCACGCACCAAGCTCAAGGGTGTCTTAAGAGTCTCACATCCTCATTTTAAAAGATGGTTTTGTAAGGTTGAGTTACGCTCAATCACAATACTTAAGATGGTATTAGAGTTTGGTTCAAGATTCGTTGGGCCACCTGCTATCAAGTTTCCATTATGTGGACTCCCACCATTTATATTCCCACACTAAGCCTAATAGTGTTGGGCATGAAGGGGATGTTAAAAGTCTCACATTGGACAATATATAATTTGACCGTATTTTTATATGTTAAACCAAACTCGAATTCTAAGATAGTATCAGAGTTAGATTCAAGATTTGTTTGGCCACCTGCGATCGAGTTATGACTATCGGGTCACCCACCATATTCACACATCAAGCCTAATAGTGTTGGGTGTGGGAGTGAGTGTTAAGAGTCTCACATCGGATAATATATGGTTTGGACATGTGTTTATAAGTGGAGGCAATCCTCACCTTACAAGTCAGTTTTGTAATGTTGTGTTAGGCCGAACCACAATTCAAATATGGTATCAAAGTCTGGCTTAGACTATGTCAGGCCACCTGCTATCAGATTTCCATTATCGGACCACCCACCATTTATATCCACGCAACAAACCTAATACTGATAGGCGTAAGGGAGGTGTTAGACTCTCGCATTGAATAATATCATAGTTGTTAATAGCGGCTTGGAACGGCACTATCCCGAGATGTTGTCCCGGCGCGGTAACCCTCTGCTACAGAGGAACAGTGCACATCTCAGAGAGATAGCTGCCGCGATATGTGGGATAACGGGTTGGAGGAGCAAAGCCCTTCCCGGCCCGGGCGGATTTTGACCCGTTTTTGAGTTTTTTTGCGTGCATAAAGACCTTTTGCCATAAAAAAAAATTAAAACTTGGAACGATATTTCAACTCAGACGCGTTTCTTCTCCTTTCTCTTTGCTTCAACTCCTTCTCTCGCGTTTTGCCCTAACTTCTCCTCTACCTCAACTCCTTTAGGTTTGTTATCCGCTCTCTATTCTGCTTCTCTACTTCAAATATTTCCTTATTCTCTTTTTGCTCTAACCACTGTATTCAAATATTTCCTTTGATTTTTTCTTTTTCTGCTCTCTATTCTCAAACATTTCCTTCAAATATTTCTAATTCTGTTTTACTGGCTATACCACCCTAAATTCCGTTTTACTGGTTATACTTATAAAACAATACTTGTTTTTTAAATATTCTGTCTTTATCTTTGATCTTTGATCTTTGATTTCATATAATTATTCATATATATTTTTATATATATAATTTCTCATATATATTTTTATATACATAATTTCTCATATAATTATCCCGCTATCCGCTATCCTATTTTTGGGGTCTACTCCACTACCTGAGATTAATAATTCTGAACAATATATGTCATGAACATATGTTTATATAAGTGGAGGTGAAAATGACATGGAGGTGAAAATATGTTTATAAGTGAAGGCAATTTTCACCTTAAAAATCAATTTTGTAAAGTTGAGTTAGACATATCCATAATTTTTAAGAATGTAATATGTACAGTATGAAATCAATCCTAAGACATCGTCTAAGATATATAAATGATACTGTTTGATACTTTCTATATATATATATATTTTTTCATTGAGTTTGTTCGTCAAGCTTATAGGTGGTGAAAAAACAAGAGTGGAACACAATTATTCGGTGCATTTCAACCTTTAATTTGAATGGTAGGTAAATTGTGATAGGAACTTGAGTATTATTCAGTGTTGTTACACTACCGGATCGTGGAAAATATCGGATCGCCAAAAAACCGTTATGAGAAATATCAAATATCGTAGCAGACAAATAGCGGAAACCACAAAACGGTTAAAATAAATAATTATATATAAAATAAAACATGTCACACACATATAAAAGCTACTAACATAAACAAATATTAAAAAAAATTTACTAACTTTAAACTGAAAATCTCAAGTTCTAACTTCAAAATCAAAATGACTTAAAACTCAAAATTAAATAGTTTAAACTTCAAAAATTAAGTAATAACTAATAGTTCTTCTAAAGCATAACTAGTGATAAAAATCTAATTATTCTCCATTTCCCTAACATAACCATTATCCTCATTTTCAGAATGTGAAGAATGAATAAAGTGAAGAGAAAGTTATGGTGATGGAGGCACTCTGATTGCTATAAATAATCACACCAACTCATTAATATTACACCTCTTCCCATTCTCTTTCTTCTATTTTCGACACTAGTAATCAGAATATGTTAATAATACCCACACACCTCTTCACATTTCAACTTTATCAATACTCCACCTCTTCACATTCTACTTTATTATTATGCACCTCTTCTCAGCCTACTATTTAATACTATTTATTACAGTGCACCTCTTCACAGCCTACTTTTTGATTTCACCTCTTCACATTCTATATATTAAATACTTTTTAATATGACTTATTATAAAAATGATCATAATAATATTAATTCTGATATCAAATTCAAAACCGGTATACTGGTATACCGGAAAACGGCTGATATATTGAGCGTAGCAAAATTGAAACGGAATATTGTCTTTCGTATCGGATAACCAAATTCCAATATGAAAAACCGGTATATCACCAAATTCCAATATGAAAAACCGGTATATCGGCGATATAACCGATATTTAACACTAGTATTATTGGGTCTCTAGTCTCACATCGTGCAGTATGGGATGCTCAATATAGTATTCAAGTGACTTTGTTATTCTCCCTTGACAGCTAGCTGTTAAAGAGGGTCCCCAAGTGCCTGGTTGCTTATCAGATTACATTGGAGTTGGTTTCCAGGGTCTCAGAAAGAGCTACCTAAAGAGGGGCTGACTAAAAAAGCCAAGTAAAGTCGTAGAGTGCAGAACATTGGTTCTCATAGACACAGTGCTATGATAAGGGCTTGATATTATGGGGTGCCTAAGTCTCACATCACTTTTATGGCATCCTTAGCAAAGTATTTAAGTGTCTTGGCTCTTCTTCTTGATAGCTAACTATTATGGGAAGGTTCCCCAAATGCTTGGATAGTTACCCTTTAGCATCAAAATAAACTTTTTAATGTGAATCACAGAATGTATTCTTCCCCTTTCCTCAACAAAGCTAATGCAATTTATCAAGCAAGGAATAGATATGCCATTTGTCAACAAAAATACCAAAAAGGATAGTACTCAGAAATCAGATACAAGAGAGCTTTGTGTAGGATAAAAGAGAGATGCAAAGTATAAGGGAACCAAGAGTAACCTACTCTTCACAATAATTTGAAAAGAATAATGCAAGCATCAAGTACTCCCTATCTCTATTTTCTATGCTTATTGTTGTGAGACCAAAAAACATTCCTAGTGCAATAATGCAACCCTCACGAACTACCCTAGTAGTTCAATAGATAAATTTAGTAGAAAGAACACAACAGTTTATTCAGAGTTTACATTACAAGTTCAAAAATATCTACACACAATTTGACTTCAACCATTTAGAAGATAGATCCTAACACCACTTGCCTAATCCAAAGACTTTTCAACTCACCAAAGCAGAACTCACCCTAGATCTTTAATCTTCAATATAACTAATCATCAGTTTAATCAATAAACTAACCACTAAACCTTCTTTTTAGAATCAATATGCCAACTAAAACACTAAAATATCCTCAACCTTCACATTAGATTAATCAAATTTTCAACACACAGTAGTTCGTCTTCAACCATTTCGAAGATCAATCATAACTCCACTTTGCTTAATCCACAGACATATCAACTCATCGAAGCAGAACTCGCCCTGGATCTTTAATGTACTAATCTAATACCATTAAACTAACTACTAAACCTGCTTTTAAGAATTAACGAAGTTTACTAAAACACTAAAATATTCTAAACCTTCACAAAAATGATAAAAACAACATCGATTAACCTCAAAATCAAACGATAATAAAAAAAAAATTAACAAGCAATCAGTGAAGCGAACCTTGAATCGAACAAGAAGATTAGATTCACGATCGTTACAGAAAATGGTGCGATAAGACGGAGCCTGAGGTTGGACTCGTCGAGTCGAACCGATTGAGAGGAAACGCGATGGCTCATCGTGGAACTCGATCGAGAAGAGAGAGAAGATTGAATCCCATCCCATCCCTTCATCATTCCAACGATTTCAATATCTCATGCGATCGATCGATCGATTCTCTCTTCTTTTTTACAATGGTTTTTCTCTGTTGATCAAAATTCTCTCTTCAAAATACGAACAAAAATCTCAGGCGCAAACGCTACTTCGATTGGTGTTCGTTTCAACGTTGAACCTGAAAACCCACGATTTCAACTTCAACCCCCTAATTTCTGTTATGCCGATTTTGCCCTTGTTATTATTCTATTTTCGTTTTTTTCTTTCTTTTTGGAAAACCCGCGTTCGTGTTATTAGCAGCGCTAAATTCCCTCCGTCTACGTGTTATGCTAAATTCTCTCCGTAGCGTGCGTGCATTATTATATAGTTGATGATTTTTATTTATTGATAGCTCCACCCACTCTTCACTAGAAGCAAAATGTTAATTAGTTTTGTTTATATTTTGTATAGATGATTTTTTGGTGAGAATGAAAATAAAATATATGTTTATATATTTTGTATAAATGATTTTTTTGGTGAGAATGAAAATAAAATATTTGCTTTATATATTTTGTATAGATGGTTTTTTTGGTAGGAATGAAAGTAGAATATTGTAACGTAAAAATTCTTTGTAAATGTAACACTTACGTAAAAAAAACTCTTTGTTATTGTGACAGTTACGTAAAAACTTTGATTTTATGCATAAAGTAAAAATATTATATTATGCTAAAAAGTAAGATTTACAAAGTCAATTAAAACAATTACGAGTTTGTTTGGTAGAGCACATTTTTAAATTAATGACGTATAATTTATAAATTTATATGATATTTTAAATCAATTTAGTAATAGTCTTTTGATCAAAAATTTATAATTTATTTTAGTAGTTTATAGTTTATTTTTAGACGTCATTTCAAATAACATTTTAGTTTAAAATTTATTATTTTTCTTCCTAACGAAAATTCACTTTTATTTATAATTTATTTTAATTTAAAATAAAATAATTATATATTAAATATTTCTTTATCATTTTATATTTATAAATTAATTGAACTGTTAATTTTATCTCACATTTCAATTAATTTATCAGCTATCAGTCTCAATTATTAACTATGAATTATAAACTATCAATAATCAGTCATCAGTCATCAGTTATAAGTTATAAATTAATCAATAATCAGTCATCAGTCATCAGTTATAAGTTATAAATTATCAGCTAACTTATCAATCAACCGTTGTCTGATCTGAGTCTCATCGGCGAGCACTTTAACATTAGGCCTCAAAATCTTAGAGTCCATGATTTATCATTATTATTATTAACATAAAAAAATGGAATATGGAACATCAAATGCTAGTTCCTCTTTTTCTTCTCCCTCTTTAATTCTCTTCTCTTTTCAGCATCATTAAACAAGCAAAAATAGAAAGCAAAACCTTGGCTCTTCATATTTCTCTCAGGGCGGCACTGTTCGGTTAGTAAGCACTAAGTAACAATAACACTAATATTAACACCATCGTAACGAAACGGCAAAACGCAGAACCACCGCACTACTATAACAAAATGTTGCATTATCGTAACGACTAATGAAACACCGCATCAATTCACCACCAGTTTACGACGGCGGCGGAGATACGGCAAAACAAAAGTAGCGCAGGTGCGTTGTATTTCTTTTCTTTTCGTTGTTTTAATCACTGTTTTTTTTCTTTTCTTTCTTTCTCCAATCAATGTCTTCATAAGTATTAGAGGGTTTGCCGTTTGCGCCATTAAACTCTTCGGTCTTCCATATAATTGCTTACTTATTTTTTGAGTGTGATTCATTTGAAGGTAGTAATAGTATGGTTGAGTAATTGAGTTGAGTTAGAAATGAAAAATGTTAATAGTTAAATAAATAAATAAATAAAATTGTTTGTGTAGACTGTAGTTTAGTATATGATTTTGAAATTTAAAGGTAGAAAAAAATAGTAGTTCTGACTGTGTTATGGATAATGATAAGCAAGCATTGTTTTAGTTGGAAAAATTCTGTGATATATTTCATGGATAAGAAGCATCATGATTCATGAATTAGTCTATATTAGAATTTAGGTGGATAATTATTAGTCAATAGTTAATTTTATAAAAAGAAAAAGAAAGTGATTCAATACGGTGGATATTATACAATATACTAATTAAGTTTTGTTTAGCTTATTTCTAATTTTTATTCTTAATTACTAATTTTTTATTATTAATTCTCAATTTTGTTTATTTAATCTAATTGATTTTTCTTGCTACTAATATAATTATGTAATAATTTAATGTAAGAACACAATTTCACAACATGACTATTAATAAATTATTTTCCAATAAATATTATCGAATTGATTATCAGCAGACATAATAGACATAATGATATATTTCAAGTTTTTTTACTATATCTCCTAAAATGTCTCGTAAGAATAAAAAGTGTGGATGTAAAAATGATAAGAGTAAGAAAAAGAAGAGAAAAAAATTGAAGAGTTAATTCAATTTCAGATAGGAGTTCTTGATAAATTTTTAATCAAAGAACCTTAAATTTCAAATGAAAGTCAATATGTTGATAATATTGATGTTGGAATTCTTGATAGTGTGTCCGCTTAAAATGATAATATTAATAATGTGTCCATTGAAAATGATGACTTAATTGATGAATTTATTTTAAAAAGTGTTTGTAGGAAGGCTATTTTTAAGTAGTTAGATATTTTAAGTCCTATGAAATGATATTCAGAGTTTAAATAATACTTTAAAACTTTTGTTGTTTAATTTTATTTATATATAATTTTAGTTTTTGTGTATCATTTTTAATTATTAAAATTTTACTATTTTTAAATTTAAGCCTAAATTTAAAATTCAAACAAGACTTCTGAATTGATTTGATCGATCGTGACCGCTATTTTTATCAAATAAACATATTTTGATAAATCACACTGTAAATTTTAAATTACTAATATAACTTAACACTTTAAAAATTCTAATTAAATACATGTATAATAACTCTTCATTTTAACAATAAACTATCATTATCATTAAACTCAAAAGTAAATTAACCTACCAAATATTTAAATTATTAATATTAAGTCTACTAGTTTTAGTTTAAGGAAGAAAAATAATAGTTTTAGAATGTTATTACTTTGATAATAACATTTTAATATTATAATTTTTTGTCTCCCCCAATATTTAAACTCATTTATAATAAATATACACTTTATCTAATATATATATATATATATATATATATATATATATATATATATATATATATATATATATATATATATATATATATATATATATATATATATATATATATATATATATATATATTACATTAACACTAGAATAATAATATTGATTTGGATTTAATGTTGAATTATACTTCACTTAAGACTTATTAGTTATTTGTAATATCAATTATCTATCCAGTATAATAACATGTTATCATTAATATTTTATACACTCAAAAGGACAAATGGATCAATGTAAATCATCAATTTTTCACCTCAACACTCAATCCT